TTCCCTGGGGCAGGGAGGTAAACTCCCTCAGTCCCTTCTGGGCAAGTGTAAATGAAGATTCTGTTTACAAAGTACTTAATTAGCTTGCCTAGGTGATATTATCAATCATAATTTGAGAGACCATTTACTTCCAGCTCATCCTGTTGTAGGATTGCACAGGGCTGCCTGAGCACATATGTGATAGAGGCCAGGCTTGGAGGTTCAGTTTCCTGAGGGGACGACATGGATCAGGATTGGTTAAGCACCTCTAAAGTGAAACTCTACTCTACACCCTGAGCCGTGCTGCTTGCAGCCGATAGGGCGTTCCTGTCGAACCAAGGGTCACTCAGTAGTCTCAGGTAAGCGTAGCTGGCTGTGCAAATTCATCCCCATTACTGGAAAGAAACGTGTCCCTCTTGATGGGAAGTCAGTGCCTTTATCTTCATATTTTATTTTATTTTTAACTGTAGATTTCTCAACTGATATCTTCATATTTTAAAGCACCAATGTTATCATTTTATTTTTTATTTCATTTATTTTATTTTTTCATTATTTTTTTATCTATTTATTAATTTATTTATTTTGAGACAGAGTCTCGCTTTGTTGCCTAGGCTAGAGTGAGTGCCGTGGCGTCAGCCTAGCTCACAGCAACCTAAAATTCCTGGGCTCTCTCTATATATTAGTTGGCCAATTAATTTCTTTCTATTTATAGTAGAGACGGGTCTCGCTCTTGCTCAGGCTGGTTTCGAACTCCTGATCTCGAGCAATCCGCCTGCCCCGGCCTCCCAGAGTGCTAGGATTACAGGCGTGAGCCACCGCGCCTGGCAGAGATTTCTTTCTTATAGTCCTGGAGGCTAGGAAGTCCAAGGTTGAGGGACTCGCATGTGATGAGGGCCTTCTTGCCATGTCATCTCATGGTGGAAGACGAAAGGGCATGAGAGGATGAGAGAGGGGGGAGAGAGAGAAAGAAAGGGAGCCAAACTCATCCTTTTGTCAGGAACCCACTCCTGTGGTAAGGACATTGATCGACCTCTCAACACTGTTGCCTTAGGAATTACATGAGCTTTGGGGGAAGCTCTCAAACCGTAGCCTTGTCTATCATTGAAAACCAGAGTTTAAGGAGGTGTTTCCTCCTGGTCACCATTTGACATTAAACTTTGAAAACAGGGACTATTCTTTTTTTTTTTAAATTAATCATTTTCTTTTTTCTTTTTTTTTTTCCCCCCATGCATACTCAAGTCCCAGAAAAGAGGGAATAATCTTTTTGTTGTTTTATTTTTGTGACAGAGTCTTGCTTTGTTGCCCAGGTTAGAGTGAGTGCCGTGGCGTCAGCCTAGCCCACAGCAAACTCAAAGTCCTGGACTCAAGCAATCCTTCTGCCTCAGCCTCCCAAGTAGCTGGGACTACAGGCATGGGCCACCATGCCTGGCTAATTTATTCTATATATATATATATTAGTTGGCCAATTAATTTCTTTCTATTTATGTAGAGACAGAGTCTGGCTCTTGCTCAGGCTCGAACTTCTTACCTCAAGCAATCCGCCCGCCTTGGCCTCCCAGAGTGCTAGGATTACAGGCGTGAGCCACCACGCCTGGCCAGGGAATATTCTTTATCACTCAGATTAACCTCATACTTTTGGTAATATCTTTTCTTTATGATGCCTCTTAATATTTTATTATACAGTATTCTTCTTATCTACTTCCTTACTTTAAAAAACAGTGATGTTTATTCAGTAAAAAATAAAAGAAGAACCGAGAAAACATGACCACCATGCAAACTACAGGCAGTGAACAAATGGTGTGTGATTCCTTTATGAAATTAGACGCTTAACACTTGCTGTCAAGGAAGCCCAGAGGGCTGTGCAGCAGGTGGAGGGGTTCTCAGGATTCTGGGGCATGTTGCCCAGTTCAACTTCTGCTAAACTAACCTTTTCCCCAGTAATATATATGCCTTCCACCTCAGAGTCAAGTATAACTATTTTCTGGGACTCTTGGACTTTGTTAAGTGGAAAGGTACAATATAGCAAAATTTTCTTAGGCATGAAGGAGGGAGAGCTAGAAATGAGCAGCTGAAAACAGTCGGTAAGACAAGGATAAAGAAATTGAGGAAGTTGTGCTGATTCTGGCAACAGAAAGTCTGGAAGGGGTGGCTGTTAACACGAAGGGGAGGGAAAAGAGAAGAAAGGATAAAAGTAAGAAGTCTCGATGGTAACATGAGATACTGTTTGGGGAAGCGTTTTGTAACAGGGAAAGGCCTATACAAATACTGTATTTTTTGGCCAATACCTATTTTGATTTAGCAAACATTGCAGCATATATTAAGTGGCTAGTTGCTTTGGGGATCTAAAAGATAAATGTAAGACTGTCTATCTAGTTTTTTACACACAAAGGGTGGATTTCGGGTTTGAATTCGGTGTATTTACCTATTAATGCTATTAATCTGTGCTATTAAATCTAAAGTCCAAGAGTGCACCATTATGTCTTACCCACAGTAGGTGACTCTACAAATATGATGTAATTGAAATATTAGAGGGTGTGGATAGGAACCTGGTTCAAAGTTATTTATACATTTATTCAGCACTTTTTTTACTTGTGGTAAAATCGTACATAATGGTGAAATTAGGTGTGTTAACCATTTTTAACTGCCAGAGTTCATGGCGCTGAGTTACCTTCAGCCGTGGTGAACCTCACCACACCATCTCCAGGATGTTCGCATCCTTGCTCAAACTGAAGCTCTGCCCACCTATATAAACAATAATCACCCCATGCAACCGATTTGTATTCTATGTTCCTTTCATTCACGGAGGAATTTATTGAGACCTATGATTAAGCCCAGTTCTCATTACGCGAGGTCTGGTTCCAGAATGAACCGATACACGAGGGTGCCGATCTAGGCGAGGAAGACAACACGGCCAGGAGCAGGCGGCAGAGCCGGGGCTCCCCGCCGCGGCGCCTGCGTGGGGCTGGCGAGCTCCTTTGAGGCTAGCGAGCGTGGGGCTGGCGGGCTGCTCCTTTGGAGGTAGGCGCGGTGGGG